GCTGGAAATATGCTCTTCATAATTTTCCCTCAACTCGTCTCTAGAATCTTCTTGTTTAAAGTACTTAAGATTTCCTTAGAACTCCTCCAATCCCATGCTTCTCCCTGCTGGCCTGATAGATTTCCTCCTAGGAACGCTTCGTGGTAGACTTTCCGCCCTGGGTATTGCTGTCTTCTCAACTCAGATAAGATGGATGTGTTGTTTTTGCAGGCTACACCCAATCGCCTCTCAAATCCTGATTCTTTTCAGCTGGGTGTGTGAATTCTGGCTTTGTTTGGAAAACCCTTAGCTGTGTGAGAGTTCAAATATAATTTCTATGGTTCAAAAAGCACCAAGTTAAAGCCTACTTCTTGGCCTTGAAACACTTAACCGATGGCAGGCCAATGATCCATTCCAAACTTTTAAGGCTCTTAGTCTTCATGTACTGCCACCCAGGTTAACCTGAAAGGAAAGCGATATGAGGTTCTCTCCTTTTAAATTAGACCCCGTGGTTGTGCTAAAAGATGTTGAGAGGAAAAAGCATAAGGGTGAACGATGCCGGGTGGAATGCAGAGCAGAGGGGAGCCCTGAACTGACTGCGAATCCCACAGCCACCAGCACATCCCTGTTCCAGGGTCACCATATCTTAAAGCTAAAGAGGTCTCAGTAGCCTCTGACATGGTCTTGTGGCCTCCAGTCTTCCTAGTCCATCCCCAGTGGGCCACCAGCGAACCTTCCTGAAACTTACGTCTGATTCTGTCCCTCCCCTTCGAGAATTCTGCCCTAGGTGCCCTTTGCCTTGGGACCTGGGCATAACACACACACCCTACCATTTCCCTTCCCTGCCGGCTTCTCCAGCCTCATCTTTTCCTGACATACTACTCAGAAAAAGTTTGGCATGACTGACCCCGTTGCATCTCAGAGCAACCCCATTAAAGCAGTGTTACTTAAATCGCCACCACACCTCACTTTCACTTATTGTTTCCATATTGACTAGATGGCAACTTGTCAAACATAATAGGCTTTTGCACACCTCTGTCTGTGCACATGTGATTTCTCTGTTTGGAATTCCCTCCCCCACCTCTCCTGATTGCTTGGCCGACTCAACTCTTCCTTTAGGACTGAAGGTCAAGGGTTAGCTCGTGTTGGATGGGTTTTCGAGCCACCCAGACTAAGGAGATACTCTTTCCTGTGTTTATCCTTTGTAGGCACAGACGATTCTGTGTTTACTTTGAAGCGAGTGTGTAACATACAGCAATGTGATTATTTTTAGGGGGAGCGGTTTCTCTCTGGTGGTAATCCTGTGTGACAGGGAAGGAGGCTTTGTCTGTAGTTTAGGATTGCCAGGAGAGGAAAGAGAACTGGGCCCAGAGGATCTCAGGCCAGGATGGAAGGGGAGGGCCTGCCCAAGGGAATCTCCATAGCAACCAGTCAGGATGGAGCCCAGCGCAGAGATGGGCTCCTCTCTAGCATAGCGTTCTGCATCAGGGGGTCGGCAGACTCCACAAGGGCCAAACCCACCCACTGCCTATCTTTGCGAATGAAGTTTTACTGGAACACAGCCCTGCCCATTGGTTTACAAATTATCTCTGGCTGTGTTCATGCTAAATGACAGAATTTGAGTAGTTGCAGATGAGAAAGTCTGGCCCTCCAACCCTAAAATATTTACCATTTGTCCCTTTACAGGAAAAAAAAATGGTCACTTGCTCTAGAGAGCAGTTCTCAGAGTTCAGTTCTCAAGCCAGCAGCATTGCCACCATTGCACACCTACAGGCCTCACCTCAGACCCACTCACTGAGAAAGTCTGAGAGCAGGGCCCACCGATCTCTGTGTAATCAGCCCTTCAGGTCATTCAGAAAACCGCCAGTCTAATAACGTGGGCTTAACTACAGCCAGGCATGCGGGGTCTAGGAGAAACAGGTACCAATAAAAGGCAAGGGGATACAATCAGAAAACAGGGAGGGGAGCAGATGAGGATGCAAAGAATCTCTTATGATGCCTCTGAAATACAAATTCCATGAAGGAAGGAACTCACTGTTGGATCCCACCATATTGCCCTGTGCTACCTGCGTGTGCATTTGCGAGTGAATGAATGCGGGCGTGCAGGCGTGCTTGGGATGGAGCCAATCCCAAAAGGTGCCTAGCCCGCAGGCAGGGAAATAGATGCACCTGGCAGGTGTGGCTCAGGACTGAGGCTGAAACCCATTTGTAGCAAGAAAGTACCACTGAAGACTGAAGAGCAGGGGCATGTCTAAACGCCGGATGATTTGAATGAAATTCTGACTTTCATTTAATCTCAGTTTCACTTCCCAGCCCTGCCTTTGGCCGGGTATTGGTTCTGGGGATTTTGTTTTTACCATCATAGCTCGTCTGTGCCTCTGTTTGACCTTAGATAATTGACTCAAACTTCCCAAAGCTATTAACTGAATTAATAAATCTGAAGCCCTTAGCGTCTGGGACACTTCCTCCAGTAAGGAAATAATTTTGTCACAATCTCATTTCATGGTGAAAAAAAGATTACCAAATATTATTAGTACTTTATTCCAGTGGTAAAACTTTGCTTATTGGTATTATTCCTTCATTTGTCTTTAAAGAGACTTCTGCCACACTGTCTATGTTGCAATCTGAAGCCTAAGTTGATATGAGTTTATTACACTTTTTCTCATTTAGCATATATCACAAACTTTTTAAAAACCAAGAAGTGCTACAATATTTGCTAATATGGAAATAGGTCATTTTGAGGTTCTGTTATTTAACAAAATATCCATGTGTTGGGGAAAAAACAACAACATAGCATATATCACAAACTTTTTAAAAACCAAAAAGTGCTAACAATATTTGCTAATATAGAAATAGGTCATTTTGAGGTTCTGTTATTTAACAAAATATCCATGTGTTGGGAAAAAAACATACTATCTAAACCCATCTTAATACATTTTACCATACAGTTTTTAAGTACTCTTGTGAAGTTTTTTATACTCACTAGGGTAGCTATTTTACATTTATATGCCCTTTTTTAAGAACTCTGCATATATTATGAACATATGAAAGAGAAAATAAGATTATTGAGGGCTTTACTAGGTGAATAAATATTATTTCATGATTTTTCAGTGATAACTAAATCTATATTATGTCAAGGAGTCATCAACCTGAAACTTTAATAACTTTTGGCGGAGTGACATTTTGAAAGTAAAATTAGTGTTTGGGTGTTTTTTTTTTAATTCCATAAATGCCATGGGAATTTTATCACGTTTCAACACTTGCTGAATATGTAATTCCCATAGTGCCCATTAGTAGCCATCTGTGTAAGGTAATACATGTTTGGGATGAAATTGATTACGGCCTAAACACTCCGGTGTTATGATCAGGAAAAGCACACAGAGTTTTCTAATGATCATTGTGGGGCTAAAGATGTGAATTTCCAGAGCCAGAGCAGCCTATCACTCAAGATCCTAATCTCACCATAAGGGACACCAAGGCCAAAGGAAAGGAGATGGAGAGACTTTCACTAAAAGCAGTAAGTGCTGTTCTCGAGGAGCTAGTGGGAAAGAGGGGGAAATTAACAGGCGTTGGAACATAGTATTTCCTTTAAAGGCATCCAAGGGAACCCAGTGCGGTTTCGTGAATATTCAGACTATTTCATTACCTTTTAGAAATTCCTGTTGCAGCCACCAACACACCTCAAGGTTAACTTGTAACTTTAATCAGCATATACGTTGCTGGTCCAGCCCCCTTGGTCCTTTATATTATTTTTGCCTGATTTGAAAATCGCTTTCTTTTTAACTGTGCAAAACAGGTGCTTCTCTTCTTTCAAATATGTTTTCAATGTCATCTCCTCAATGCATTTTATTTTTATTAGATGAATACCAGTGTACTTCCTGAGCTCATTTATCTATCCCCTTAGAGTAGAGCGAGAAAATAGACAAATATACTTGTTTATATCTTTCTAATGAATGTATTCACACCTTGGCTCTCACATTATCTACGTATCTACTGGTGAAACATATTACAAAAAAAGGATTTTTTGGTTTAGAAAAATTTGAGAGCTTGCGTTACTGAACTGTCCCCATGATCATCTTAAAATCTGATCACGTCTCCATAGAGTATGTGGCATTTGAAATTCAGCTATATCCTGATCGTCCCTGGGATGTAGGCCAGAATGACTTAGGTTCAAATGCCCTGAAAGTACACAAAAGAATTGATAGAATCATTGTCTAAACATTGAAATACAGCCATTGTGATGTCGGCGTAGTTGATGCTGAACTGCCCTTCCTTTTTATTGTTAAACTTCTTGATGATAATTATTCATCAGGTTATGATAGATTTCAAATCTGTTTTCCATTAAAGATACCAAAATAATACTGTCTCCTTAAAGGAGGAAATTTACCTTCCTGTCTTATATTTTGTATACTAAGAAGTCATGCATCAAGTGCTTCTAATAGTTGTAGAAGTTATTTGGAATATATTGAAAAGAAAATGGTCTAGAGTACAGCAATACTTAATAACATTTGGATTTGGGTTGGGTAGAAGTTATTTGGAATATATTGAAAAGAAAATGGTCTCAAGTACAGCAATACTTAATAACATTTGGATTTGGCTTGTTGTTTTTTTTTAGCTTTTTTTTAAATGTATCTTATTGTTGAAAATATTACAGATGTCCCCTTTGTATCCCCCATTGCTTTTAGGGGGATGTGTTTTTAGTAGCTGCCTGCTTTTTTTTTTTTTAAACTGACTTGATTTGCCCCTTCTATAGTGTGTTTGTTGTTGCTATTATTTTCAGAATCTGTTTCTTAGCTTAGAGAGAAGTAAGGTAGGACGGGTTAGCCTCAGTCTCATGCCAAAAGCACTGGATGAAAATCAGGGATCCTTAAGAGAGAGAACTCAATGGGCTAGTTGGAATGTACACCAGAGCCCATGCATTACCATTAGTCTTGTTTTTAAAAGCATATGCATACTTCAGTGTTTTGTTCTTAGAGGATCTAAACTGGTTTTCTTCAAATGTTTACCACTTATTTTCCCAGAATCTTCAGCTACTTGGAGCTACAGCCATTGAGGATAAATTACAAGATCAAGTGCCTGAAACCATAGAAATGCTCATGAAAGCAGACATCAAAATCTGGATCCTCACCGGGGACAAGCAAGAAACTGCCATTAACATTGGTAATTCACCTAGTTCAGACTTTAAATGTGATGCTTTTAAACAGCTTGATACATTATAGAAGATAAATTAGAGATATTTCAAGATTTGAAAGATTTGATACTTTAAGAAGTCCATATTTATATTATTGGGCTTATCTTTCAACTTATGGCCCCAGTGCCTCTTTAAAATTACAGTGGTTATATATCGTAGCTCTTGTAACCACATAATACCCGTTCTCCCCTTTGTATCATTGCCTACCCCCATTTTTTATCCACAATTGGCACGTGTAGATAACATTTCCGCAGTTATCTGTGAAAGTCTAGAAATTAGGATTATGGCAGGTTGTGTATTGTTTATTTGACCAAAGGTTATTTCTGAGATGGGAATAAGAAGGTTGCCAGTTTCAATTCATTTTTTGGAAACAGGTTCTTAGCTCAGGCTGCCATAACATCTCTTGAGAGGAATGTATTACATCAATTAATTCACTTTATGTTTGGACATAGGACACTCCTGCAAACTTCTGAGGAAGAACATGGGAATGATTGTGATAAATGAAGGCTCTCTTGATGTAAGTACAATCCTATTTTTTAAAAATTCTTGAACAACATAGTCATCTTGTAGTATTTTATATTCAGACTAGAGGCCCGGTGCACAGATTCATGCACCAGTGGGGTCCCTCAGCCTGGCCTGTGGGGATCGGGCTGAAACCAGCTCTCCGACATCCCCCGAGGGGTCTCAG